GTTAAGCCCGAAATCTTTGTCCACGGGAGCTAAGAGAACATGATTTCTTGAAGGATTGGTCCTTAGGTCTGTCAATACCAAAAGCACATCTTCTGTCTTCTACACCAAGAACTATATTTGGCATCCCTGAGCATGTTAATGGGTTAACTCCCGTCTGCTTCCCCCTGGAAACGGATACCTGTCTTGGTTCCATAAAACTGTCATTTAATTTAGCTTTAATGGGACAGTTGCATGTTGAACGCCAAACAACTGGTTTGTTTATATAAGATTAATGAGACTGGCACTAATTACATACATTTTCTCTTCCCACATTTTCCGTATTAAGACACTAATTAAGACATTATGCACTCATCAGTGTCAAACGGCTGTTCAACCCAGGCATCTGCAGAACAGAAGTTCTGTTTGCCCCTTATTCTTCCCAATTTTATTTTTTTTAAAAAAACAAAAAACCCCACAAGCTTTCTTGGCCAGGGCTTAGCAGCTAGCCTGTTCCGAGCCAGGCACGACCTCTTAAGAGGTCTGACACAATGGATGTAACTCAGTGTGCATTTTTGCAGTCAAAATTAATTCATTCAGGGCTGTACCAGAGCCTGCAGGAGGTCAGAACAGAGTCTGTAAATTTCAATCCTCCTGAAGTTCAGTGGATTACCTGCATTTGGCTTTTTGACCCAGATTAATTTGTTACCTACGTTTAAAAAATAAAATTATTCATTTACAGCAGGTTGCACTACTAACAAGCGCCCTTTACTGCGTCTGTAGTTGCATATCATAGGAGCACATTTACCTGTTGAATCTAAATTAAACGATGAGACGGGAATTTGACAAATCCTCCAGAAAGCTGGGCAGAGCTGCGGGGGTTATTCCCTCTTTTATCCTAAGCCAGGCTGAGGAACTGGTGAGAATGACCCCCAAAGCTTTAAAAATGCTCATTGTTTTGAAAAAACCAGAAAGGGAAACCTTCTCATCCCCCATTTCTCCACTCAAGCTCTAACTGTCCCACTGCATCTTCATTCTTTGTTCCCCCCTGAAACCAGATGCTCCCCAGCAGCTTCGAACCTTCAAACAAACCATCCTGCCAGGGCACCCTGCCGGGCAGGTTTGCTGCACAGCAAGATGCTGCTTGAAAGCCAAAGACACAAAACAAATTGCACGTATGATGTGAAGTGTGATGTGTGATTTAAAATATTGTTAAACTACAAACAGCCAGAATTCTGGGAAAGAACAGACTGGAACAAATAGCTGAGACCGATGCCAAAACGAGGGGCAGGGACAACAGGAACACACACACACACACTGTTCCCTGAAAAGACCAACCAGAGATGGACAGAGGTGAATGAGGAGAGTAAACACAGCCACCAGCTACAGGCAATTCCCAAATGTTCACCCAGAAGGAAAAAAAAAACAAAGCAGCTATTCACTTTTTTTTCTTCTAAGGAGCACAATGAATATTTAAAAGATTGACTTCTCACCGAGTATCTGAAATTCAAATGCAACCTTTATCCTGTAGCTCTTGAAAAATCTTTATAAATAAGAGCTGATTCCATCTGCTGTAGTACTGAAATCCAGCTGAATTGTCAGTAAATGGTATTAGCTCTGAAATATTAGATATCAACTCGATATAATGGTTAGGGTAAGACGTTACCGTTACAGTACTGGATTGTATCTGAGCAGGAATACGGGAAGAACTTAGAAAAAAGCCAAGTACTTAAGAAATCTGGGGTTTGATAAGCCCACACCATCTCCCTGGATCTTTATGGTGTTTTTTACAGAAACAGAAACAGTCAGGATGTCAGTTTGTGTCCCATTTGAAAAAAATAAAAGAAACAAAAATAATTTTCTTACAGCACTGAACATGAAAAAACGGGGGCATGGGCTTAGACCAATATTGAAGGGAAAATACTGTTAAGCAACAATGAAACTGGCTTTAATTTTCAGGTGATAGTTTGTGTGCTCAGGCATGCACATATATATATATATAGACACACACACACACAGCTCTGCAAGCATAACTATCCCTGGCAGTATTTTGGGATCTGATAGCTTTGACAACCCAAACCTCATTGTCAAATGTATTTCAGAGGTGACTCCAAGCAAAACAAATATTCTTTCTTATTACTTTGAATTTGCAGAATTGAATAAAATGGGCACTTTTCCCGTACAGTCCATTTTCTTTCATTTATCTCAGGCACTGGCTGCATTATGACTGGTGTAAGCATGTACTTCCACAGTCAAAGAAAATATTGTTTCTAACAGCAGAGTTTGCACTTAAACCCAGCCCTCCTCTCCCATTCCCTGTGTTTGATTTCCATTTGAACTTCAGGCATTATTTGTACCATTGCAATATTTGATGATTCTATTAAAATGCTGTCCCCATCACTTCTGCAAATCAAAACCTCTAATTAGAAATAATAATAAAAATGCAGGGCAGGAAGTTCTTTGCTTTCCATCTGCTTTTCATTAGATTACTCAACCCAGCCAAACCTACGGACAATTAACCAACACAAGGAGTTCTGTTTGTAAATGCCTTCGTGGCACAGGGCTTTATGCTGCAGATACAAGATGTCCTGGATGCTCTACATATCGTATTTTGATTAAAGACAATAAAGTAAGTGGTTCCTTTTAGAAAAGTCTCTATTCCTTGGGAAAATCCAATCTGGTATTTAAAATATAGGTAAAGGGAGGAAACTAATGACGTGGATATTTAAGTGTATGAGAAATTCCTTGCATGTTTAAGCCCTAGATTAGAATACACCAATGCATGGAATATGGGTGAGGAAGACCCAGGCTCTTCTGCACCATCCCAGCAATGCAATTCCTAGCGAGGCTCAGGGGGAACCACTCAGAAGGATCCCATTTCCCAGTCTGCAGCAGTGCTAAAGCTGCTCTGGGTGCAGCTCCCTTCTGCCCCTGCGCCAGCCCCCCCGGGCCGTGCTGATGAGACGAGTCCCTTGTGCAGCTGTGTGCGAACCCAGCTCAGCAAACCCAAACCCCCCTGCACCTCCTCACCCCTGCTGTATTTCACACATCGCTTTTTCCTCCGGGTTCCTCGAGCTCTCCAACATCCCATTCAACAAGCCTTAACCACAGGAACCTCCTCCCTGACTCCTTTGAGCTCCAAGTCGCAACTTCTGTAATAACCAAGTAAGCGTCTTACGGATTTCTGCCTCCACCGTACAAGTGCTGATCCTTCCCAAGGTGGAAAAAATAGCAAGCATCACGCTGCAAAGCAACGGTATCATAAATTCTGCATGCAAAGGAAGGGCAGTAAGGATTACAGGAACAGCTGCGATGTTTGTTGTAGCAATTTTTCCATCTGAAAGCTCGTTAGTGTTCTTCTCCAGCAGCCTTTTGCCTTTAATTGAACACACAGAACAACACTCGGGGAAGGTCAACAGAGACAGCCTCGTGACTTGGCAATGTCTTTCAACTTTTTATTTTTAATAGGACTTGGGCTTTTGGTATCAACTTTATAACAAACATTTCCCAGGACTGAAAAAGGAAATCCACCCCCTAGGGTGTTGCTAAAGCCAAAGAGCATCTATTCATCTATGCTGCTTCATCATCTCTCATTAGAGCAGAGCGAGAAACTCCTCGCTAGCAGCTCAGGACATTTAATTGCCGGAGCCGTATCCAATAACAAACACTTGCTTACGATGGTATCTACCAGCCTGGCCTGTGTTTAGATTTGAAGCTGCCCTTGTCTCCGTGCTTGAGCTGATGGAGCACAGCGAAGTGACTGATGGCAGTATTTAGAGATAACTTCAAACGACAAAAGGCAGATCCTGGATTTACGGAGTGCCCACCTGCCGCAGCGCTTTGCATGGCTGGTGATCTCTGTGACACCCATTCTGGCAAATACACTCGCATGTTCCCTGGAGTAACAGGGGCTGGCGTACCAATGGCTGAGAAACTCTCTCCCGAACGGTCAGCTCTCTGAAGCATGCAGATGGACGCGGTGCGCCGCTAGCTTAGGGCGTTCACGACTTTTTACCACTGAACCAAAAGTTCCAGGCTGTAACACAAGATCTGATAAAACCCATTTCCCCTGGTAAAAGTCAAACTTTTGAATCACATCTATTTGTTTTCAAGTATCAAGTCAGCAAGCTTATAAGGAACATCATTAAAATAGAGAAAATAGATGAAAAACCACCAGTTAACCAGCTTTCCAACTCCACTTGCCGGCTGCACAACATTTTAAGAAAGCAATTTCAAACTGCTTCTCCTGATACAAAAGATACACAGATATATCTTTATATATATGAATATATAGATTTTAAAAAAAAGGAAGAATACAATAAAAGGTTCACCACCAGTAAATTCTGCAGAGATCTCGGTTACGCCAGCACATCTAACTGCAATCACGTCCAGTGCGTACTAGGACAACACTCGAATCAGATCAAGATCTCATTTTCTATTTATTTTTCCTTTCATCAGCAGAGCCTGGAACTCATCTGCCTGTATTTCATACAGCACACAACTGTCCAGAGGGCAGCAGGAAGCTGGTGGAGTCACATACCCGGAGCAGAAGCAATTAGGATTGAAAGTTCTGTTATTTCTGACTTTCTCCATCAATCCCCAAACAGAAAGAAGCTTCCAGTACCTAATTAATCTCTTCCATCTAAGCCAGCACAAATATTTTTGGGTCACCAGTATGTTTTGTACAAAAAAACCTCACATCCAGCACTCTTGGGACACCAAGAACTGGGATGTTGCACAGAATCACCAGCTACAGGCTGCTGAAGGAATCTGAAATTCTTACAAGCTGAAAATCTTTTAAATCATGAAGGAGACGGACACGGGTACTAACTCACAAAACACCGCAGATGAAAGACACTCAGCAGTGGCAGCTGTGCAGAGCGAGGTAACGTAGACGGGATAACAGGGTACGTGTAAAGGATGATCGACACACGGAGCATGACACGATACGTATAAAGGAGATAACACGGAACACACCAGAAAGATGATCCAGTTCACTGCATCCCAGAACCGCACACACATACCTGGTTTCGGCACAGAGTTGGTCACCGACTGAGGAACTTTGTCGTTAATTAGTTCAACGCACTCACTGGGGAAGAATCCAACCTGTAGTAAAGACAGAAAGAGAGGCAGAAGGTTGAGTGCAGTGCTTTTAAGATCTGAACCAGCAACTCTTCAGCATTCTCCTCAACTCTGCCTGATGCTCCGTAACATTATCCAACACAAAACCACCAGCGTAAGAGTAAGAACTTCTCAAAATGATGCAGCCAAACATTCTACAAGCCACATAAAAGTAGTTCTGTACAATACAGTGATAAGTCTGTTTCCTTAGCTTGCTACAGAGATACTCAGTTTGCAACAGAGAGGAGAGGGGACATGTGTGCTCACACCCTTACATCTCGAGTGGAACCGGAGACAGACAGCCTGGAGCTGGGTTCCCTGCACCTGCCCGCATCTATGTGCCACGGAGGAACGGGATGTTCCAGCTCTTAGCATCCCAATTATCCGTACTCACATCTCCCAACACTTGACATTTTTTCACTGTCAAAATACTATATTCACAAGCACGATAACATCTTACTCCTTTAGCGAACTGAAATCAAATATAGGTCCATACATTTGCATGTTTATAGTCCAATTACATAAAAATACAGATTCTTGTGTGATAAGTCAGAAGACTGAGCGCACAAAGCATGTCCTAGCTGTACTGCTCTTCATCTGAGGAGCGCAGGGAACAAGGGACACTCCTGAACCATTCACATTAAGTGTGTTTAAAGATCTTGCTAAGAAAGCTCAAGGTGGTTTGAGTTAAAATGAATTCAGTTCAATCTTAGCAGTGAGAACAGGTTTAATAAAATATACATGGAGCAGAATGAGTCCTGCATTTGTAAGAAAGAACCCAGAAATTTGACTAGAAAGAAACACAAGTATTTTTAGAAGAAACAGCATGATGTAGCAAAAAAATCTCTAACGAGAGCCAGAACTCCTGGTGTGCACTCTCATATCTGCTTCCCAACACGGACAAGCCAGAGCAACCCTTGTGCCTCAGTTTCCCCGTCAGCAAACGAGAAGGGATAACAGTGCTACAATATCCATTACTGAGAACTGATTGGAGAGAACAGCTGGCAAACATCACACAAGCCCTTTAGCTGCTATGATTTGTCTGTGTATCTGCTAATCAAAGAATATTCCAGAAACAAAGCCCAGAGCCAAGACTCTCCTTTAGCAAATGTTTGAAGATGCTTCAGAAGCAATGACCCACGCTGGGTACCACACAGACGTGCCCGCAGAAATTCACATGCCACTCAAAGGGATCTGGGGAGAAATAAAATGATTTCCCTTTCACTGTTTAAGGATTCAGGCTAAGATGTCAGCAGACAGGAGTTTTACACTTCTCTCCAGTTCCCAGGTGAAAGTCAAGCCAGAGCAGAGCCTTTGGCAACTTTTATCTTTAAGTCTGCATTTCCAGACCTTTGTCTTTTATGCCCTACCCCCTCACCCAGCACAGCTTCTGCACTGTGACATGTAATCCAAGCACCACCACCCTTCCAAGACACCCCCTGGAAGCCAGAAGCAGGATTTCCTGTCCCGTGCCAGGCGTGCGATTTGGACAGCTGGAAGCATCAAGTCACTTCATGCGGCCGCACTCTGGTCGAGTGCTGCAACAATGCACGGCACAGAGCCAGCGGCCGGGCCCCCAGCTCCTCCCCACAGCAGCAGTGGGGCAGGACGGCTGCCAGCCCTGTTAGCACACCTCTGAGATCCGCTGCGGCCAGCACTGGGCGTCCGGCACACAGCCCCTCCTCGATTCATTCATCTTGCACAATTCTCTTTTGTCTCCCAGGAAAATTTAAAAAAAAAAATCTCCTTCCTACTCCAAGTTGATTTTCACCCATAAACTCCCAATTAATCCAGTGGCAGTGTCACGCGTGGTGTGTGCAGGTAAACACTCCGAACTCTGAAATTATCCCAAATTCCCCAAGGGAGGCAGCAGCAAATAGCAACAGCAGAGAGCTTCTTCCCACACCCCCAAACCCAGCAAGGCAACGCTTCCTCCAGGAGGACAAACTGTAATCCATCACACTTAGTGTCGGGAATATGCTTCTTGTTACGGCTGGGACAGCATGGGAACAGAGCTTGCAGCAGCGGCACGCCGGAGCAGCAGCCCTTGCTTCGCTGACCGACGGCTCCCTGCGGCTGAGCCTGCCCTGGGTGCTAACCCTCTGCTCAGGTGCCTCCCGAGCTGCAGCACCCACCCACAAACCCAGCTCACGTGTGGCTTCACCCAGCTGAGCGTGCCACTCCTGCGAGGAGATGGTACCCCCGAGGCACACACAGTCAAGTTAACTTTTCTTGCAAGTTCCCCGAGAGATCATCTTCAGGGTCATAACCTGTATCTCGTGCCTCATTCCCACCCACTTAAACGATGCTGCTTTTCCTCCCAGGGAAAGTTTTCCATGAGTTTGTGTAAATAAATGAGTTTAGCCCAAGAGTTAATCTCAACAGATGTAGCAAGGCACTATTAGAGCTTGAGCCAGGATTAAAGGATTTGGCAACGTACGAAAACTAATAGCAAGGGTAGTATGTATTTAGATAAAGACAAGGTCATCCAAAGGTTAAAAAAATCACTACACACCTTAAGCAAAGGAGGAAATCACACGCTACTGTTGTGTGCAAACATTTCTGCAACAGCTGCTATATCTTTTTTAACTCTTCTGCCAGCACCTGCTAAAACTTCAAAGATACATGAAGCTTTACGGGGAAAAGTCAAAGTAACAGTAATAATTTCCAGGGTACGAGGAGGGAATTCAAACAGCTGAGAAAGCAGCAGCAATGTAACTGGCAAATGAAACAGTGAGACATTCTGATTGGTTTTGGTTTTGATTGTTTTTTTGTCCTTGTATCCTGAACTTTTGAAAAAAAAGATAGATGAACATCTTGGCCACAAAACTCTTTTATTTTATTCATAAGAAGAAAGGGATGTTAATTATCCCTTCCTGCCCGGTACGCCAGCTGCACTTTGGGAAACCAGGTGAGGCTGGTCAGAGGCTCTTCTTTGAACATCCCCACCCGCCAGAGTGCAGCCGAATAACGAACGTGACTCCCAAAGGTCCCACAGGCTCCTGCAGCGAGGTGTGAGAAATCCCTGCTGCTCACCTCCAGAAATGCATCACGCCGACGGCTCGCTGGCTGGGGCTGGCGCAGGGACCAGTGCCTCTGCCCCAGCAAACGGCTGCTGCGCGCCTCCGGAAAGGGGGAGGGATGCACGCAGGGGAGGACGCTCGTGGCAAGTCGGTTCAGAGATCATTTTGCCCAATCTGTCCCTGCAACTGGCACTGTGCTGCAGATGGAAGTGGCCATCTGGCTGAGAAACGACGTCACCGGTGACATGGTGACCGTGGTGACACTGCCTGTTTTGCAGGGAACATCGTCCTGCCTCTCGCACTGAGTTCCCAAATCAACGCTCGTGAACCAGGAATCAAACCTGGGCTTCTCACCCAAAAACTGGTGTTGCCAAGGTGACACCAGCCACAGGAACGCGCTCTGCCCTCCCCGGCCATTTGCACTCATTGGTCCCCTATGTTTGTATCACATACGTGTTATTCATTAGAAAATGATGCATAAGAGTAAAACAGCCTGTTTTACTCCTGAACAGCCCAAGGCAGAACATGCACGTTTTTGGGAAATCCATTCAGCATTAAAGCCCATGTTCAGGGTCAGCACAGAACATGGTGTGAAAGCAGCTTCACAACCAGTTCAAGCCCATGTAATCCAAAAAAATCCAGTTCTGCACACCCAGCGGGTTGTTTGGTGTCACCTCCAGCAGCCGTGCAACCAATGGCACTATACCCCAAAGCCAGAATAATTAAAAACATCAAAAGGCGGCTGTGCATCAAGAAGGGCCTGTCCCCAGTGATTCAGCTCTCTGAAACCCAGTCACTGATGGAAAAGACAAAGCATGGAGAACAAAGAGGGCTGGAAGGCTGTTAGTGTGGAGGTGGCTGTAATTTAGGTAACACTCTTACAGAGAAAGCAGTGACTCACTGAGAGCATTTGAAAAGAAAAAAGCTGGAGGAAAAAATGTCTTCAAAATCATTTTACTTTAACCAGAGAAAATGACAAGAAGCCTACTGGGTTGTTTTGTTCCACATCGGATTAATGCAGCCATTAGATCAGGTATTGGGAGAAGGGAACAGCAACTGCAACACAGAAATCTGAAGGAGAACAGAAACAGTGATTCATTCCTGAAGGACAGCTCTGGCTGGCAAGGAATAAATTGGCTCCCGTGCTGAATCACAGCTGCGGCTCACACTGAACACGCCTGCAGCCCGTCGGGTTTGCTTTCCTGTTGACATCTGTAGATCTGTCTCTGTTCATGTGCACAGCCCAGAGAAACCCTTTCCTCATTCTAATAGATGGGAGGACATGCAGAAATGAATGTAATTCTGCCCAGACATACACAAGTCACAGCTGCTTTAAATGCACAAAACCAGGGAAGTTCTTTTAAGCCCGGAAGTATTTTTGGCGGAACCTTGCTCTGCTCCTATCCAGACATGATTTACAGTGGAAGCTGGGCTCTGCTCGATAAAACCCTCCTCCTTTCCTAGAACAAAGCAAAAACCCGAGAAGCAACATGAACAAACTGTCCACACGCTTGGTCTTTGGACCTCCTCCTTTATCTGATCCCAGAACCACAGCTATCTGGCAAGACAGTCTTTGCTGATTTATTTTATTAAATAAAATGACTGGATCAACAGATTGCTATCATGTTTACAACAGCTATTGCTCCGAAATGGGAACAGAATTGCTTGCCTATAATAAATGCTTTAAAGGCTGCACAGCTCCATCAGTTCTTATACATATTGCTATGACAACATTTTTCACTCCTTTTAAGTATTCATCAAGTGCACTTCTGTCCTGAACTGTAACACACCCCTAGGTCTGCTGTGCCAACACCAGAGAGAAGTGTCCTTTCCCTGAATTCTCTGCTCACTGCAGCAGTAGTTAGTATGCACAAAAAAAACTCCACCACACCAGGAAATGGACTTTTCCTGCACACTCACAGCTTATGGGACTTAAACGTGAAACACAAGCTGGTTAAAGCCCCCTCCCTCTTTGTACAATGCTGGAATGTGCATCTCTTGGTAGCTGACGGTGTTTCATGGAAATGAAAAGCTCTGGTAAGTACATTTCAAAGAAACGACAAAAACTGCCAATTCCCAGCAAAAATGCACCTCTCTGCAAATCAGATGCATGGTGGTGTGAAGAGATGTTTGTGCAGCGATAACTGAGTTAGCATTACTGCCTGGCAGGAGCCCCAGCCGCTGAACAGCACCTCTGGGCTGGCTGCCTTTCCTCGGCAGTCAGCAGGAGCAGCAAGCGCGCAGATGCTCTGTCACCCTGGCTCAGCTGACAGGCAGGGGCTCCTCCAAACACGCTAACTTCATTTTCTGCATTTGTGCAAACACATCCTGAGCTACCGAAACACAGATGATGGCTGCTGCATTTCCAACAGCCTGGCTCAGTGGCCGTGATCTGATTCACATTGTGAAAGACTCTCTGCTTATAATTTAAGACTCAAGATTATTCCACCCCTAATTTGCTGTTAAGCCAAAATATGGTGCTCTGTTTCTGCAGCTGCTCAGATCTGTTGCGTGCCTGTGCACGCATACAGACAAACCCCTTTTCAAGCCGTTTGCTCATCAGCAGCTCCTTCTGCTGGGAAAGCACAATGAGATTGCTCTGATCCGAGACACAAGGCAGCGACACACTGCACAAGGGCTCCCTTGCTTCCGTGTCTTTCATCACCACTGATGCTCCCCGTATCTACTCACAGCTTCAAGAAGCTGATGGCAAGCAGGGAGCTTGTGCTGAACAACGTAACGTACACCCTGTGTGGGGACACCACACGTGGAATCAAGCTGCTTTGGGCAAGTGTCTCATGCACCGATCACAAAGTAGTTTTCCTTTGTTTTATTGATTCGCTTGGAAGTCAAACATGGCATAGTCTGATCATTCCAAGTAGTACTAAAGCACTTCATTAATTTTTGATCGTACAGCAAATACAGCTTTAGGGCTTCTAAGATGAGAACCAAAGTCCTGCAAAGACATAACAGAGCTCAAAACTAGAACAACAACAGTCAAGTTTGTTCAAGAAATACCAATGTGTTAACTCTGGAAACAAATCTAATTTCAGAGCAGGTATCATGTGTCCACACTGCTCTGATTTTACAAATGAGATATTATCTGAACTCCCCCATCTGATACAAAGCCAACAAAAGCTGTATCTCACGTGCTGTGACTAGTCAGACAGACATGCCACGGTGTAACCAACACCCCGTTCAGATGGGATCTGTAGTGTTTGGAGACCCGACTGCACGCAGCGCTGCTATTAACGACAGCAGAACCACAGCCTGGATCTGGCACAGGGAAAATCCGAGCTACTCTGAGAAGACTTTCCAGGCCAAAATACACAAGTGACTGGTCAATTCTGACCCTCTGCAGAGCAAACTCGTAATTCCACCTACTCACAGACAGCAACTGCAGTACGAAAATCCCTCCTACTTGAACGGAGCTGAAACATGAGACGCTACGGTGCGAGGAGGCAGAAAGTCAGTTACCCCAACCTTCAGCAGCTTTTGGGTTTTGTTTTGTCAGTAGAGACTTTTTTTCCTTTATTAAATTTCTTAAAGAGAAAAACCAAGCTAGGGAATAACAGCTCTTTTGGAAGGAAACGCCATTTCCATACACAAGGTTTGGTACCTAATTCCCAGGTATGTTTAGGATCTTTTTAAAATTCAGTCTAAACCCCTTTGCTAAAAGATTTCCAGAGACCAGTGATATTAACACTACACGATAAACGCAGACACAAAAGCACAGGTTAGTGGGGTGCTTTGCCCAAGTCAGTGGCTGTGTCTTATCAAGTGGCTTTCTCTGAATCCTCCATGTTCTGCCTGATCTAGTTGTAGCCGGTGGAAGGAAGGGGATGATTTGAATCACAGTGTCAGCTGCCTCGGAGGAGGCGCAGCATCAGCTTCCACCAACATCAGGCCAGCTGTCGATCAGAGGGCCGTGGCCATCCCTACCTCGCACAGCTAGGGAGGCAGATAACTCCTTCCTACGAGGATCACATCACGCTTGTGCCTACCTGAAATCCGTGTTTGCCTCTCCACCACGTGGTCAGCTCCTTGGGTGGCATGTCGATAACAGACACTATGTCTCCCACCTGCAAAAGACGGGCAACATCAGCTAGGAGGAAAGCACAGCTCAGATACAGAACTGGAAAACTTGTGAGCGAGTGCACCCACGCCAATCTCGAGACATCTGCCTTTGTGAAATCAGCCTGGGAGGCAGAAGAGCTGCGGCACTATCCAACATACAGGATACAGGTGTTCCTATGGAAACACCCCTCAGGAGCAGCCGGCTCTCTGCCGAAGGGTTCAGCTGCAGGCAGGAGGCACTGGTAGTGCGGACACACACGTCATTCCCGTAAAAAATACTGCAACAGTTCAAACGGAAATCAGTATAACCCCTCCTGAATTTGGTTTGGTGGGAGTCAAAAGCCGCGTGGCCTCTGTAAAAGAAAATAAGAACTTCTTGACCAGATACAACCTACTTTGAACCCACCGTACAGCACCACCTCTGCAGGGTCTGCTGCTGCTTGGAGACCAGGCTACAAGATCCCAATGCCAAGAAAAGCTGTCTTTTAAAGATGTCTGCTGCATCCAACCATTGCAAACTGAATATTTAACTGAATCTTTTAAGCTCCAGCTCACAGAGCATTCTGAAGGTGTGTGACTATATTCCTGATGCCCCCACACACGCACAGACACACCGGATACGCTCTTCTCTGTATGACAACAAGCAACGTAAGCTTCTCTGATTATTTACCTCAAAGGACAGCTCGTCCGCTGCTTGCGCGATGTATCTCTTAATGACATGGGCAGCAGCGATAGCAGGAACATTAATGGACGATTCCTCGTGGACTAGCAGGTGATTCCCCTTGTTATCAATCTGAAAGAACGAGCACAGGAGAGCGTGAGGCAGCTGAGGACAGGCGAGGAGGGGTTTTATCGGCGCTCAGACGCCACAGAGGCTTCAGGCTGATGCACAGCGACAGCAGAGCCCGGGGCCCCCGAGGAGAGCCGCACGGGGACAGCGGCGGGTGCAGGGAGGAAGAGGAAGAACAATTCATACAGAGCGTTTCAGAAGGTCCTGTGTCCCCAGCCAACCCATGAGAAAAAGGCTGTGTTGGTGCAGCTTTGTGTACAAACAGGGACAGGGAATGTTTACACCTCCCTTTGACACCACATCATATTGTTTCTCCTGAATTATTTACAATGGCCAGAGAACTGTGACGACAAAAATCCTCTCCAAGGTGGAATGAATGCTCAAGAGGTACTGAGGCAGGGAGGAAATGCTCTCAGACCAAAACTAGTGTTGTTTTCAATTTTCTCCCAACCTTTTGTTTCTTTTTTTTAAGAAAACATGGCTCCCTACTTTCGAAATTCCTAGATTTTGGGCTTGGAGTAAAATTTTGTAAGATTCACAGTTAATCAGAAAGGCTGTTCTGTATAATGTGCAACACAACATGGGCTGTAATCTGTGGGTCCACTGTGTTGCTGTAAATCCTACACTCTCATTTTTCTCTATAACTTCCTTCCTCCTTTCATGCTGAAAAGGTTTCCAAGATTTTTCTCCTCCCAAAGGATTTCAGAGTGAGGCTATCAGCAGGGAAAATAGCAGGAAAATGCACTCAATCCTTATCACAACCATTTAAAACCAAATTGCAACAGTCTAATAATAGCTGCTTCTATTCCTGGCGTGCAGCAGGATCATCAGGCAACGGAAAGACAGACGTATCTCTACCCAAACTAATCAGCAGCAGCACTGCTGACACAGACAGGTGGCCTTGGGCACTCAGCCCCATTCTTTCCTGCGCTCCTGCCCCACTAAGGTCTATTGTTTAAGATGGTAAAAGACCATTAACAGAGAAAGCAAAGCTGCAGCTGCAGTTCACTGTATCCAAACAGTGCCACTGCTAGCACAACGCCGGCTCTGTTCAGCAGTTTAACCGACACTGATGGCAAACAGCAGCAGATAAGATTTATTGTTCCTGGAGCTATGGCAAGGAAAAATAAGAAAAAAAAAAAAAAAAAACCACAAAACAAAAAAAACAAACAGAGGGCAGGCAAACACTGAAAAAAAAAAAAAAAAAAAAAACAGAGGGCAGGCAAACACCATAACTGAGCTCCAACAGTTTCAGAAACTGGCCACGGCAGTATTGCCGTGCCAAAAAGGAGTGTAAGAACGTGTGTGCTTTCTGCAGCCCAGCATTCAGAGACATCAGCTGTGAACTGGACCTTTCCCAGGCGGTCCGCAATCACTGCCTCACTAGAAGCACCTTTATTCGTGGTTATCAGCAGAATGATATGTCTTTGGGTGACAAAATCCAGGCAAGAGGGGCAAAAAGCTCTATATCCTTAACTTTGGATCCGATTCTGTTTGTTCTATACCTTTTGTGGACACTGAGACACTGGTAACAGGGGAACAAAACTTTCAGGATAGCATTTCAGTGACACCGGCAGGTCTGGAAGGACTACACCCCTTTCTGGAAAGGCAAGGGAGCACATTCGTGGCTTGCTCTGCTGCTAAGGTCAGGAAACAAAGAACAACGTGAGCTTCACACTGTACCTCCATCCATGTGAGAGCTGGCCCACAGTTTATCTTGTTGCCTGCGATGGCCGAGAGACGTGACAGGTAAGCCATCAGCATCTGGGTGACAAGCTGGAGCAGAGAGAAACGGACAATGTAGTTTTTCTGTTAATACACGCACACATCTGAGAGCCATTTAGGGAAACAAAACTCTGGCTGCCATTTCTACCCGCTTGCAAAGAATGTGGCAACTCAGACCCACCCCCTGGCAAAAGGGCAATATTCCAAATAGTAGAAGAGGGGTTTGAAAATACATGTAGCAACGTCCCTTCCATAACAGTAAACTTGCTTTTATTCAAGAGAAGGGAGCAAGGTCTTTCCAAAGTGCCAGGGTTCTAAAGCAGTTCTAAAGCCCCGAGTTTGTAGGACTGCTTGAAACATTGTTCTCCTCAAGCACCTGTTCAAATGTGGTCAATTCAAAATAAAAAAATCTAGTACGAGACACCACACAGCTGCAGAATTACATTTCACAGCAGTAGAGCTGTTCAACATCTTCTGTGCTTACAGATACAGCGCAGATTTTCAGCCTCATGCTAACAAGGACATATTAAATCCCTTGTACAAATAAAGATATGAGATAGGAATGCCTAAAATATAATTAAAAAAAAAAAAACAGCCCTGATTATCCTGAATGTTGCTTTTTCTCCTGAGTTTAAGAGACAAGAAACTTTCTACTCAGTGGCAAAAGCCCTGTGGATGACTTCAGTGGGCACGGATCTCAGCCCCTGTGTGTTCTCAGCAGCAATCCATCCTCGCCCGCTCGGCACTGAAAGGACACGGATCTGATTTACAGTTCCTGGATGGATTCTTCTTTGAATTCTTGGAATAGCCTCAAATTTCCTCATTTCCCTTTTCAGCTACACATCTCGTGGGCAGGCAACATTAGCCTTCCAACACAGCATGTCAAGATTTTTCCGTACTCGTGCTTGATGGGAGCGGGCAAACGCACAGCCACGGGTCCCGGAGACGAGTGACCTGTGAGATGAAGCAGTGGGCACGGTCCCTCTTCTTCCCGCAGACAGACCGAGGCCCAACAGCTTCGCTATGGTCTGCTGGCTCAGATAACCTCCGTGGCCACTGCCTCCCTCTCCCCATCTCCTGAAATGATGCAGCCAAGATGCACCTACTGCTTCCCAGAAGATGATTTCGGACGTGAATAAATCTCTGCATCAGCAAGAGGCAAGAAGCCGAAGGAATTCCAGCTCACCATATTCCAGCTGAAGACAGTAAGTCAAGAAATGAAAAATACTTCTTACTCGTTTAGGGAAAAAAAGCAGTCTTTAAGCTTTTTAAAGAGCTTTTAAATAATGCACTAATGCAAATGCTCTTAAAAACCAGCTTCAGTGATTTTCAGTTTATAAACACAACTCTAGCCTTCCAAATGGTATTTCTCTTGCAGCGCTGCAGCCCTGGAACAACACCATTTCCTAGGAATGTGAACATGAAGTCAGGAAACATCCACCTCACGGAAAAAGTTTCCAAAGACACAACAAAATCGTTATCTAAGGTACAAGGCACTGAGGTGCCTGAAGTGTTGACTGAGCTGGTAATTCACCTCCGGGCTGTCCTTCAGGGCATCGGAGCGGGGCAGCTCGGAGAGCTGGGAGAAGCGCCGGTCATAAATACACAGGTGAAGGTGTTTGTCGAGCACTCTGAAATCTTCATAACTCCGCTTCACGATCCAGCTCCTCCCCTGCACAAAGAGAAAAGAGACTCACACTGTTAGAAGCTCCTCGCCAGTCCGGGTTGGATGAAGACAATGAAAATTTGCACAGAAGTATCAGACCCATCCTTCTTCTCAAAACTTTCGAAAGCGATGAAAGCACCCTGTTTTCTGGTTTAATCTGTAGACAGCCATTTGTGCTCAAACCAGCTGGGCTTTTTTGGTTTTTTTTTGTTTTTTTTAGTGTTCCTGTTTTAATTATTTAACCGCAGGTTTGGATGTGGCCCAGCATTACGAGACCCATCCAAAGCTTTCAGCTTCCACCTGTCCTACAAGGATTCTGTTGCATTTCCACACACAAGGTGTCTTTGCACAATGTAAATCACCGCGTGGCTGTATAAACAGCATGAAATTAGATTCTACACAGATAGAAGAACATACAATCAGGGATCTGAAGGCAGACTTGAAGCTTGCAAAATCCGTCAGACACCCCAGGCAGATCTTCAGCTGAATTAACAAACCAATCTATGCTGAGCAACACTAGCTGCAGATTCCCTCCTGAGTGCATATCATTTCCCCAATTAAAATATTGACAAGATACACACTGCTTCAGGGGACAAGGAAGGGACCACGGCAGCACGGCATAATTTGCTTTGTGAAGCTGTTAATGTCTAATGACTTCATCTACATGCTTCACAGCCTATTATGATCAATAAAAAATGCTGTCACAATGCAGCGGTTTACAGGTCAAACCGCTTTATGGATAGCCATTAATCCTCTCAACGCTCCCATGGAGCCCCTAAATCGAGACTATTCCAGTTTTACAGATGTGGGCACAGACCTCCACCAGCTTCCATCCCAGTTCTGCTGCATCCATTTATCAGGAAAGCTATGAGCATCACGTTTACATTCATATCCACAGCCTGCAAGGCAGTCAGGAATGTCAGACCTGCCATCCAGGGCACTAGCTATTTTCTGTCACACTTATTTAGGACAACTCCAGACTGTGTGCTGTGCCCATAAACTCTTGTATCACACGAAATCACCCCCATTTCCCAAGCCTGCAAAGAGGGTGTCTCCACAGGACATAAAGGCTTCGTAATTTCCCCAAGTTGTGTCATTTTACTTTTCATCTAAAGGAGAAAAAAGAAGAACAGGATTGCAAGTGTAATTATCCGCAAAAAGACGACAGCCTTTCCACTTTCTCCATCCTTTGCAATTAAGTGGTTCTTTTGATAAGCTGCCAATACGACCTTCAGCTGAGCCAGGTTTAGTCACCGATGTACGAAACAACAGACCGAGAAATCGCTGCAATCCTTTATCCGCTTCTGCCCGCTGCACCTAACAGGACGTTTCAGAACCATCTCCTACTCTGCCACGCGCACAACAAACCTATTTGTCAAATGCCTGTCGTTCTCTCATCAGCCCCATGACATTTTCACTGTAAATGTGAGACCTGCAGCCTCTTGCTATCAGGAATTAAGACAAGAGTTAAATCGACAAGACAGGACTAGTTGGGATGAGCAACCTGCTGGTCCGTGGGATCAGCGCAGAAAGCGGACGATAGGGACCACGTTCTCCCATCCTACGCGGCGACGTAACGAGGCTGCTCATGATGAACGAGCAGGGACCGCTTACCCCAGGACAGCAGCCGTGTCTGGCCCCAGCATCCCTCCGGGAGGTTCTGGCTGTGCTGCAGAAGGTAACCCGGACCCGCGGCTCCCGGACCGTCAGGCAGCAGTTCGGCAGCTGCTAAGCAACCAGCGGAGCTCGCCCTGCAGCAGCCGCAGCCTCCATCGGGGGGGTGCTGCAGGCGCCTGGGGGGCAGAACCCTAGGAAGAGTCAGCCCAGCGCCTGCCGTCCCAGCCCGGGATCTCTTCTGCAAAAGGACAGCAGGATGCGGTGGGAACTGCCCGGTCTGAATGCCTGCGCCTGCGATGCGTCCGTGCAGAGCACAGTTTCAGGAGCTATAATACCATTTTCCACCCAGCAGAAAGTTATTCCAACACCCTAAATGTGAATATTTCCTAATATCCTGCAGTTTTAAGTCTAGGAAGGAACTGGACAACATTGAGTGCTTCCCCTCAGATCTCCAGGATAAATCACAACAAAGTCAAGTCTAAACTCTCCCAGCTGGACGTTCAGAGTCGCACAGCCAAAACAGCAGTGACCTCATTCAATATCAAAAATACTAAAAACCTTCACTACAGCAATATAAAAATTGTACATCTTGCTCCCATTTCCTGCAAATCCTGAAGTGCCAGAAGGGTTTTGCAAAAGTGTTCTTTTTTTTAAATTCAGAGAGTTAATAAAACAGTAGAAACAAGTAAGTGACTGTTAAGTTGGTCTCGTGCTGTCATCGGTGTTTTATGGCAAAGCTAAACACTGCTGGTGCTGTAGGCACAGAATATCCATAAGGCAGAAATGCCTTCCTCACATTCTTAATGACCACCATAAATTATTGCTCAAATCAATTTTTGATCACCCTCTAATTTCCCAATTCAATAATTACTTTGCTATTCTTTCATTATGGATAGTCCTGATCTAGAGCAGCACATGCTTAAACCCCGTTAATTCCAGTGGGACAGAAGAACAGAGGGGACGTTAAGCACACCGTCATCTCCCAGATTCAGACCTTCAGTTACCAACCTGGGTATGACAAATTCCATCAAGATAAAGAATCAAGTCTCAAAAGAAGATTTCAGTAATTCCATAAAATAGTTTCAAAATCTTTACAATGAAAATTTGACCCCTGGCTTAAGAAAGAACCCAACCTCTTGAACAGAATCAAAGTATTTTTTTTACATTTAATTTTACAGAAATGTTCACAATGAAAAGCATCAAGACAATGATGGATTTTTTCACCAAATGGAAAATTTGTGTTAATTCTCACTCACAGTTTGATCTGCTCTCCCTTACCCTTGCATGCTGCGTAGGGCTAAATGTACGATGAAAGACTGGTATTTCAGCACACTGCACAGAGCTGCTTATTTTTTTTCCCGATTATCAAAGCACCAAGAAATGTCAAGCTAGAAAAATGACTGGAGATTACTGAACTGATGATCTAATTTCCACCGAGGCAGAGATTTGAACCCTCCATGAGTAAAAACCATTATACCGAGATCGCGGACCACGAAAAGCCACCCAGGCTTCACATTGCACGAGACAAGATTCAGAGGGACAAGGATTCAGAACTCCTGCTCCACCTGCAATATTTTTAGCTCTAGTGGTCAGACGGCCCAAGGAGGAGGACATGCAGCCATAGCCAGGAGAATTTAGACACTCCCCGAGGCACAGCTCATCGGTGATGCTCTGAGCGTGCAGCAGCATCCCTCCCGGTTCCCCTCCCTCCCAAGCCCAACGCGCAGGGGGACAGTCACAGCTCAGCGATGGTTGGTTTCATCACAACAGAAAGACACGATTCTTCCCCCGTTGTGTACGGACCAGCCAACGGCTTACTCAGGGCTCCTTTTTGTCCATCAATGCCTCTTCAAGCCAGACAGGGTGCTGCTAACTTCCAGCCCCCACAACTTTCCTGTCCCACGGTCTGAGTGTTTTTTTCTCTGTAGCAATGAGATTTATTTATTTTAAGAGAGGGATAGACCTTTCTTTTCTGGTTCAAATGCTTGTTTCCTGAGAGAAATCCAACGGATGCTCTCTCATGAACCTTCCCAGTCCGCATGGAGATCAAGACCAGAAAATGAGATGAAGGTACACGGCAAAAGTCACTCCAGTTTGACCCTAGAGTAAGAAAACACCACGTATTAAATCGCTGGGAAAATGCCAGCGTCCACCAGCAGAGTTTAACTCTGCCATGTGGGTGACGCTCCCAGCTGGCCGGGTGTGGGGATCTGTGTGTTATTCCAGCGTGACCCTTCAGCCCTTTTTCTATGACGAGTCACGCTGGCAAATGGCTGAGACATCCAGCCAAAACAGCCAACAGGACTGGTAACATCTACCGCCTCGTGTTTACCCAGGAAGCGTTTTTAGCTGGTGCCATATCTAAGCTGAACTCTGTTTACCAGATGTCCTGGGTGATGTCACGACTTCTGGTGTATTATTGTAACTTCAGGGAAATTATAAATCTGCACCTACTCGTGATTAGAAAAAATTACAACACGGGCAGGAGGGAGCTTTAAATAAGGTGAGAATGATGGAAAGAATAAAACTTTTTGCTCCACCTGGAAATGGACACGAGAGACCAGCTATTGCAAGATAAAGGGAACACGTGTATGGACAAACCACAAGGCAGAGGAGAAAGTTCGGTGTATTTGGGTGGTGAATCCTTAATAGCTTTATTCCACCAAAGAAATTAAGCTCTTTCAGCATTAATTATCGGTTTGTTATCAATTAATTGCAACCAGCAGGAAAAAAAAGAGATTCTAATGGAAACAATTGCAGCTTTTCTCCTCTAAAAATTGTATTTCCTTGTGCTCCCTGATTCCAATCACAGATAGGAACGCTAAAAACACAGGCGGCAACACAAGGCTGCCCAGGACCTGCTCTGAGTGGCAGCAGCGTTATCCCTGCTCATTCGGAGCCATTTGGGATGCTCTCCGTGACCAGGTCTAGGCAGCTTTCCGGGTGCCAGGCTGAAATAAAGCCACGACCTTCCAGGGGTTTCTCCATCACTCAGAGGAGCAGCTGTGCCAGAAGCACCCAGCCAGCAGGCAGGTCTTTGGCGGCGATGGGTTCTGCACGGGTACGTTAAGACCACCTGATGCACACACACCACGTGTATGGCATCTGAAACCCTAAAAAATTGGGGTTTTTTCTGACTGGCAGACACCTTATGAACTCAGAGCAGGATTTACAACTCTCCCCGTGTGAACGAAATTCCCTGCTCTCTGGACATGTTATAATTTAAACAATTCAATCTCAGTCATCTCTTTAGTACAACTACAGCGTCGGAGCAACAGGTCGCGGAGAGACACGGGTGACGGGGAGGGCGGCCACAGCACTGGGACTGCTTTTCTGCACTTCAGAAAATTAAACTAATAACCCAACGTGAGCTCACAGCCACAGAGGAA